CAGCCTGGTTATGATCCACTGCTGTCTGCCCGTCTTTGGTGCTCCACAACTACCCGAAGGGGCAAGTCTCCTGTACCGGGTGTACTGGGTTCGCAGAGAATCCCACTTCTTCCTCAGCTCTTTCTCTGAAGCACACAAATAAACGATGTAACCATTGTGGCTAGTTAGCATGTCCAATTCATATCTATATGCAGTGCCAAACTGCACAGCTAGCAACAGCTAGCAACAAGATAACAACAAAACACAAGGTTGAAATAACAAATTACATTTCACGTTAACGTCACTGTACGCTGGCAAACAATAAAAAGCCAACAATATCTGCTAAAGAGCTCAATTGATGAAAAAGATAATCTTACCCGAGAAACCAAGTTGCGTTTCAATCTCTCGCTAGAGTCCGGTTTTCACTACTCGGTTCGAGTACCTTTTCTCTGTGATGTCGTACAGAGCTGGCCTCTCCTGGATCAAGGTGATGAGCAGGTCTTCGTTTGCGTCATTCCAGATCGCCATGATGAGATGAAAATGAATATCAGTCTGTGTGTGCCTTCTTAAATCGTTTGTTTACGTCCCTCACTTCCGTTTCGCTTCTCATGCACTGATTCGCTAGCTGAACAGCCAATCAGAGTGATTGTTTGGTCCAACTGCCAGACCCGATGCATGGCCGATTCAACATGTTGAATCGGCCATGCATCGGGACAGGCAGTCCAAATAAGGCGTGTCACGGTCGACGGTGCGGGACACACCAAATTGAGTTTGGGCGACAGGACACGCTTCGTCTCCCGATTTACGAAAACAGCCGAAATCGGCCTGGTGTGTCAGGGCCAAGGACAACAGTCTCAATGGCAATGACGTGTGCCCTGTCTAGATGCTGACCTCTAATCCACACACACACACACACACACACACACACACACACACCACACACACACACACACACACACACACACACACACACACACACACACACACACACACACACACACACACACACACACACACACACACACACACACACACACACACACACACACACACACACACACACACACACACACACCACACACACACACACACACACACACACACACACACACACCACACACACACACACACACACACACACACACACACACACACACACAGACAGAGAGACAGACAGACAGACAGACAGAAATCCCCTTTGCCCTACATGAGGTGTGAATGCGCCAATTGGATTACCTCTTGGACTGTGAGGATCTTTCCTTTGCAGATTATAGCACCTGATAGTGGCAGAACAGTGTGATCCTCTATAACAGGGGTCTGCAACCTTTTTGACCAAAAGAGCCATTTTGCTCCTTTTTCCAAAACATTTTTTTGTCTGGAGCCGCAAAACATATTTCATCGTTTTTTATTGTTATATCAGACAAAAACTACAGTTTTGTTTGCATTTATTAGGCTATTTATTACATGATATAAAACTGTTAACCTCTAATAAGAAACAAAGAACTCTTGGGAGGCTGTGGCTCAGTGGATAGTGTGCTGGACTTCGAATCACAGGGTAGCAAGTTTGAGTCCCACTGCGTCAGCATGTCGTTGGGCAAGACACTTCACCCCAAATTGCTCCTGTGGGGATTGTCCACAGAACTGAATGTATGTAAGTCGCTTTGGATAAAAGCGTCTAACAAATGACATGTAATAATGTAATAAGGGGAATTAAAAATAATACACAGGCCTACTTTAAAATAAATTAAACACAGCACTTGGAGAGTCCTCTGCACATTTGAAGGGAAAACAAATATTATTAAAATGGGCCCACTTTGAAATAAATAAAACATATAGCTGCACCCTAAAAAGAGTTAAAGGTAGGGTAGGTAAGAATGGAGAAACCAGCTCGAGTGCGCTAGAATTTGAAAGTACACAACCGGAAAAAATATGCCTCTTCCTTCAGACTTTCTTACAGAGTCCCTCCTCCAACACACACGAACGCGCACATGACCAATGAGGGCACGAGATAAGTTTGTGCACAGATGGAAGGCTGACAGGCAGGTAGGCCATCCAGTTACTTTAGCCGGGCCGGCTCAAATGATTGGTCGTGCTTTTTACAGCGCTACGGCTTCCAGAGATTAATTTGTGTATGTATTTATTGTCAAAGCATTTAATATATTCATTGCTATCGGGACGTTCCATGGAATATAACAAAAAGTGTTTTCTGAAATAAATTACATACCCGATTGAATTATGACTGAAGATCGTCAGCTGTCTTTCTCTCCCTCGTTGTTCCTCGATACGTAAAGGCTGCAGTATGAAGGTAGATATGGTGCAAAATGCCAGTGTGTAAAACCCTATGGTAAAACCTGATGTGAGCACTTGCAGAAAAAAAATCTGAGCTTGTGTGCATACATTTACACTTGTGTAAAATATCCACGTAACTGTGAACCAAAATTGAAGTCACAGAAGAAAAAAAAAGTTTTGTAGCTTGTAGAAAAAAAATGAACTTAGTGATGAAATGTTCACTTGCAGAAAAATACATATTTTTTAAATATATTTTCCATTACAACTGCAACTTTATTTATTACAACCTCTCAAATCAGTCATTACAACTTGACGAATCTGCTCTCTGGCAGTATAAATCGACGAATCTGCGGTCTTGACTTTTGCTACACTTCTTGCGATAAATGTGTCGCACAAGTAATTTTCACCTGTAGATGTGGGGGGAGGGAGGGGGGTTGGAGCGAAGGGGCGGAGCTATCAGAACAACGAGGCTCGGGTCAGTCACACAAGAGGCTTCTCAATACTCAAATTTCCCCTCCTCGACTCCCCTCCTCGGTTCCCCTCCTCGAGACTTAGACCCGCCCACAGGAGATGCGAGCGGAGGACCGAGGAGGGGAACCGAGGAGAGAGGAGGGGAAGCAGCAGACGTTTAAAGAAATGAGAACTCCTCTCCTCTGAGCGGTCATTTTAAAGAGCCGTCCGTTCATTATTACGTGGCAAGAGCTGCATCAGCTGTCCAGTGTTTTGTCATAGCGCTGTATCTCTGTTAGATCAGCTGAACATTGTTCCCCCACATATTTACTTTGAATTCATTGAGAGTGCGGTATAATGAGACAATAACAGGCTACAGATGCGGACACACACACACACACAAATATATTTATATAAATATATACAATTTAAAGTATGAGAGCACTCTCATAATAACGTAACACAATCAGAGACTGGATATATCCCCCCCCCCTCTCTGGTCGCTGAAATGGGGAATTGAAATTATGGGCCAAAAGTTGTATTTACAAGTAGGCCTATTAAAAGTAAGCAGAGGACACCAAACCAACTGAGACCCGTCTGTCCGCCGCATTTACGCACTGTACAACACACACCTACACACTCCTACCACACACACCTACAGCTCCTAAAGCATAAGCCGTTGTGTATTTTATGATATGAAGCAATGGTCTTAGAAAAATATCGACTCTTTGTTTGTATATATCTACTAAACTAAAGCAAATAAAGAGAGTAGGCCTGTTATACTGAGTGATATATATTATACACACTGCTCTGCTTTCTGCATGGACCTCACAGCTGTTCTCTCTGGAAACATCGTGACGCGATGAAAGCAGTTTCTAAAATAATATCCAGGGGATGCATGCATAGCTGTCATTGGCTGAGATAAGTCCGGCCGTACGTCACGCCTCCACCGTTCCCGGAAATGCATCCGTGGAGGAGCCGTGGAGGAACCATCAGTGTATCCTCGGTTAGAGCTCCTCCAGAGAGCCTCCTCGACGCTCGATCCTCGGTGTGCATTTAGAGAAATGAGATGTCCTTCAAAATGGCGCGCTGCAATTCATTTCCGGGTCACTACCGGAGGACCAAGGACCGAGGAGTCGAGGAGGGGAAATTTGAGTATTGAGAAGCCTCTACAGTCACAGCCATAGACATATAAACAGTAGACGCCGCATTGGCTGCTGGGGCGCAAGAAATACGGCCGCCATCTTGGACCGGTCATCCTACCCATATTGTACAGACATTCTACCCATAGACAGCAGAGGTTTCAAGATGCCAGAGCACTGTGCGGTGTATTGCTAGTGATGGCGAGATGAAGCCTTATGAAGCTTTCCAGCCAATTGGTTCGCAAAAGGGTTCATCTCATGAGGCTTCATCATGGGCTTCATTTGAACACAAACCCCCTGTTGGTCAAAGTGTGTATAACAGGCAGATTGGACATCTCAACAGTGTGCTCCATCTCATACCGAGTTCCCAATGAGTAAAGCCTTAGAATAACTCTAAACAACGAACATAAAATCATATTTTCATGCTAACAATATTGTTTTTATTCCAGTTGAATGATTGTGATTGAAAAGCCTAAGGAGGCTGGTAAACATTGCAAAGAGGGATTTGTATTCCTTACTAATATTCATAAACTTAACCATGTTGTAGCCTGAGAAAGGCTAAACCATATCAAAGAATACATTTATTAACTACATTATCTCATTTAGCTGTAGCTTTTATAAACAACAAAAAAGACGTATTGACGAGTCATTGAACCAGGAACCCTGCGATCGTGAGTCAACTGCTTTCCAGCTGAGCCACAGCACACACGCTAAATCTCCCTGAAAACACTGTAACATATTTATTCCTGTATTTATTCATTCATGTTTTTTTTCCTACATTTATTTATGCTTGTATCTATTTATACTTATGACATGTTCCGACCTCTATATAGGTGAGGTTTTGAGCTGTTTTAATTCCATCGTGTCACCGGGCCCGGGTACAGGAGGGGTAATATCGTTCTTATTATACATCCATGGGTATTATGAGCGTTGTGGTTCAACGGTTCAACCGATCTGAATCGCTTCCTGAAGCAGTCACTTGGTATCGACAGGCAGCGAGGCTTCGTTTGTCATCGATGACGTCACTGGCCCAAAACGATACAAGCCTCGATACATGCTTCACAAAAAGCTTCGGGGATTACTCGATACACGCTCCGAAGCCTCGGCGCAATACGTAACATCACTACGTATTGCTGTACAAATCGGCGGACGATTGCGAACAGGGGTCGGGGGATTACTTTTCACAAGTAAGATTCAACATTACTATTGGTTGTATTTTGTAAATAGAATATTATTGTACTGTATTGATGTCCGCCAGCGAAATCGTAGCCAGCAAACATTATGTTTATGGCCAACTGAGACTTTATAAATCATATGCTGCTGTAACAAGTGAATTTCCCCGTTGTGGGATGAATAAAGTAAAATCTAATCTAATCTATCTAGGAAGAAGAAGGAAGAAAATAAGCTTGACCTCCTTCTTAAAAATGTTTTGTGTTGACTCTCTCAAATCTCCCATTTTTATTTTGAAGGTTTCCCAAAGACAAAGATATGAGGAAGAAGTGGGAAGTTGCTTTGAGGAGGGAAGGGTTCACTGCAAGCGAGTCATCCGTGATTTGCAGTGAGCATTTTAAGCAGGACGAGTTTGACAGGACAGGACAGATTGTCCGACTCAGAGATGGTGTTATTCCCTCCATCTTCAGCTTCCCGGTTCACCTATGTTGCAAATGTATTATCTTTTCAATTTACACACGGCATCTATTGCACGTCTGTCTGTCCTGGGAGAGGGATCCCTCCTCTGTTGCTCTCCCTGAGGTTTCTCCCATTTTTCCCTTTAAACTGTGGGTTTTCTTCGGAAGTTTTTCCTTGTACGATGTGAGGGTCTAAGGACAGAGGGTGTCGTATTGTCATACTGATATTTTGTACAAACTGTAAAGTCCACTGAGACAAATGTAACATTTGTGATATTGGGCTATATAAATAAACATTGATTGATTGATTGACCTCCAAAGAGTAGGTGTATCATCATAAGGCTATTAGCATTCATACATGTAAATATTCTATTATCAATAACAGGGCAGGGTGAAATACCTATCTCTGTGTGTGTATATATATATATTATTTTCAAGTATTATGCTTCTTCATTTTAGCCGGAAAAGGGCAGGACTACGTCTACTTCCAGAAAAGCTGAAGAGAGCCTGTCTGTGGCCCCTCAGGACGACCCAGAAGCTTCAACCTCACACTCACAACTTCAGCCTAATTATGTGAGTATTTCTATTTTCAACATCATATCATAATGGTCCTAGACAAAGTAAAATCTCTCTTGTTTGCTGCCACTCATATTAAACACACTCACAAATAAACCCATACACACACAATTGAAGACATGTTGAACATGCATTCCTGGCACACACACACACACACACACACACACACACACGCATGATGCTGGCAGTGGCTTTGACAGGTGATGACTATAAGAAAGAATGTGGGCCATACTCTAGTTGTGTCAAAGTGATGTGTGTGAAGTGAAACATCACTCAAACCATGTTCATCCCTCTTTCTACTAGGATCATAGTTATGTCTTGCCTGCTTCTCCTACTGCTCTTAAGGCCAGACTCAATGAAGCTTTAGCAAGAGTGGAGAGTCTCGAGCGAGAGAGGAAGAGGGCAAAGACCACAGTGAGGAGTCTTTCGGGGGATTTGAGGGAAAAGAACCTCATTAATGAAGAACTCAAAGAGAGGCTTGATTTCTACTCAGGTAAGATGAAATTAGCACTTTGAAATTCATGTACATCTTACTCTTACACTCTTTATTAAACTCCTTTGTTATTATATGAAGGGGACTTATTAATTTTTTCTCATACAATTTCAGATCTTCAAATAGACTTCAAAGCAAAGCAGGGCCATGAGTACTCAAAGGACCACAGAGAGTTTGCCCTCACACTCCATCTACATGGTCCAAAGGCATACAAATACCTCAGAGAGACTACAAATCTTCCCCTCCCTCATCCACATACATTACAAAGGTAGTCTTAATGTTGTTCAATTTCATTTTTGGAAATTACGGTTGCAAATACGTTAAATAGCTACTTCTCAATTTTTTTACAGGTGGCTGTGTTCGGTGGATGGCAAGCCTGGCCTGAACAAGATGATGCTGGATATGCTGGAGAGAAGATGCCAGGAAGACCAGGCTAAATATGGATGTGTTGCACTCATGCTGGATGCCATGGCCATCAGAAAACATGTGCAATATAATCCACATAATCAGTCAATGTCTGGTTTTGTAGACATGGGTGATGGAAACAATGAGACCGATGTTACTACTGAGGCTCTTGTGTTCATGGTGGTTGGCCTACAAGGACATTGGAAGGCTCCCATTACATATTACCTGACGAAGTCTCTGTCACCTGAAACACAAAGGGTCCTTCTCAGTCATGCTTTGGAGGAGCTGCATGCACGGGGCATTCGGGTGGTATCTGTCACGATGGATGGGCATGCCTCCAACGTCAGCATGTGCAACCAACTTGGGTGTGAGCTGAAGGGAAACCCACAGGAGCCACTTAAAACCAATTTCCCGCATCCCTCGACTGGTGACAAAGTATTTGTAATGATGGATGCATGCCACATGCTGAAGTTGGCACGTAATATGTTGCAGGTAAATGATGATTGTTGTAGACCTATTTGTACAAGTTATGTCTCTGCTGCTAAAAGTTGTATCTAAATATTGTTGTCTGTTCATTTGCACAGTTATGGCTGGACGTGATGATCAACAATTTGCTGTTTGTACTTGTTTGAGCAGTGACTGAATCTTTCTCTGCAGGCATACAGTCCAATTGCAACGACCACCGGACAGATCAAGTGGAGGTTCATCAATCATCTCAATGATGTGCAAAAAAAGAACCACAAGATGAGGGTGTCCCTGGCTGCACAAACACTGAGTCGCTCCGTGTCAGTTGCTCTCCGCACAATGAGGGATCTTAGGTACTCTCAGTTTAAAGACTGTGAGGCAACGGCAGAATTCATTGAGGTAAACCGTTAGTGATTATAGAACCAAGTACGTGTTGTTTTTTTTTAAATAATTGATCAAAATGTGATTTGAGCATCAGGAACAATTTGTTGATAATTCTCTAAGTTCAACATGCAAATATTTTCATGAACCGTGATATTGCATATTCATAAATACAAAAGTTTGTATATAACCTTACACATACCTTCACACATTTTAGAGTGGTAAAGCTCTGTGTGCTGTAGCACAAAGCAGGCCTATGGAGAGAAGGAAGTCAAGCAAATACTAAGTTTGCATGTTGAACATACAGTTTAGAAATAAGTACTCTGTTCTCTTTATATCTTGAATAGATGGGTATTGATTACAACTATCTGATACCTAATGAAACACTGTAATGCTAGTGATTTAGATGCCAATATTTCTTTATAGATTATTGACAGGCTGTTTGACACAATGAATGGACGCAATCCTCGTGCCAAAGGATTCAAATCTCCCTTGGGTGCTTTGAATTGGATAGAGAGGAAAGCATTTTTGTCAAGATCCAGGGAGTACTTGCTCACTTTGGTGACAAAAGATGGAACACCACTTCACCGATCTAAGAGGTCTATTCAAATAGTGCTTGTTATTCATGCATGAAAAGTTCACGACATGAGTTCAACGATACTCTGTTCCGTTATGCATCGAGTTCATAAGATGCTCTGTTCTCTACATCAGGTTCATATGATGCTACTGTTACAATGTTTTTTCCTTTCGTTTTGTCTGCTAACATGATGCTCTTTTATTTCAATGTTTTTCTGTGTTCAGTTTTGTTTGTTGGAATGATCTTGTATTCATTGTTTTTGAGGTCCCAGATGCTTCTAAATAGTATGTATTACACAACATCAAGTTTTGCAGGTGTCAGAAGGAGGGTATGTATGTTGAAATGATGTTCTCTTGTTTCAATGTTTTTCAATCTGCAGTTTTGTTTCTATTTGAATGATCTTGTATTCAGTGTTTTTGAGGTCCCAGATGCTTCTAATGGTACGTATTACACAACATCAAGCACATGTAGGTGTCAAAATGGTATGTATTGCATGTGTTCTAGCATGTGTTCTTGTTCTCAAGTTATCCCAGTTCTGCAATTACATTGTTCCTAGTTAGCTAAGTGTCCTACAAGTATACTGTATATGTTTTGCCATGATCAGAGTAATAAAATGTTTTTCTTTTGCAGGTACTTGTCAGTCATCGGATTTGTCATTAACATCGACACGTTGATGCTGATGATTCCTGAACTGCTCCAAGTTCAGCAGTATGTCCTCACCTACAGGTTCAGCCAGGATCACTTGGAGCTCCTATTTAATTCCATCAGAGCGTCAGATAGGGTTGATGTTCTTTTAATTGCAATACATTCTGAAAATGACTTATGAGTAATGTATGTATTGTGTGCCTGTTTGCCATACAAGGTGGCTGGAATAACAATCCATCTGCACGCCAGTTCCAGGCCATCTTCCGCCGTCTGATGGTTCGGTGTGGTGTTTCACCTAGTGAGACAGGCAATGTGGCAGCCCAAGATCACACTGTGTCCCTGTCTGCGGTAGAGATGTCCTCTGCTGAAACTGCTGAAGAGCACCCATCTCCATTCGCCAACATTTCGGCTGTTGTGAGTGACCACAGCTATCTTCCCACTCGGTTTGGTGGTCTGGTGGAAAATGCGCTGGTCTACATCGCAGGATTTGTAGTCCGGCAGATTCTGCGAAAGCTGTCCTGTGATGTGTGCCGTGCAAGCTTGGTCAGAGATGCTGTACCTTCATCATTTGATGAGAGCTACCACCTTCTAGCCCTGAAAAACAACGGTGGCCTAGTGATTCCATCACAAGGCACAGTGAAGGTGCTGAGAGCTGCAGAGAGGGTGATTCGCCAAGCTTCAACAAGACAAGCTCCAAAGGTGTCGACAGTCACCTACATCGTCCGGGAGGAGATTGGAACGGAGGATGTTTTTCAGCTTGGGGAACACATTGAGGAGACGCAGTTTGGCATTGACAACCATTATTCCAACTTGTTGTCATTGGTTGTGTCTGTGTTTCTGAAATTAAGACTACACCACATTGCCAAACTCACCTCTCTTGACCTGCAGAAAGGGAGCACGAGAAAGAAGCTCTGCAAAACAGTCCTCTTTCAGGGCTTTTAGCTCATTTAAACTTTCATGAGCAACTTTGTGTAAATATGGTTTGGGGCGGGGTGGTGTCATGTTCTTGTGTTTAACTTGAACATTTACATTTTGTATATAGATGTAGATTTTCATTTTTTCTGACATAGATATAGATATTCATTTTTACTGATATATTGACTGACTATGTATAATGTATTATTGTTTCTTCATTTTTCAATTTATTAAAATAGCTGAGTAGTAGGCCTACACAATCTGCTTCTGCTTCTCTATCATATATAGACCATTAGTGTTTTTTTATATGTGTGTGTGTGTGTGTGTGTGTGTGTGTGTGTGTGTGTGTGTGTGTGTGTGTGTGTGTGTGTGTGTGTGTGTGTGTGTATATATTAGCCTATATTACAGTATATATCGTGTGTCTTTTGCAAAATACCTATCATACATAACATATAGGCTATCAAATACCAGAATATTCTATTGCTGTTAAGCCTACTATGAATATTAAAATACGCCGAATTATGTGTCCGGTATCATGCCTACATATATGACGTTTGCAGAAAAAAACCCCCGTGAAAATCAGTTTTGTATTCAGCGAGTTGTGATTGATTAAATGCGCTGACACTTAATTGCGCCTGCCAGACAGATTACACTGAGTGGAGCGGGTGACCGGTCCAAGATGGCGGCCCCACGGCTCGTCAGCGCCATGGATGTATAATAAGGTCAGCGCCAATAGGCAGTAGCGGTCGATGCGGCGCCTACTGTTTATATGTCTGGTCACAGCCACAGTCAGTCACGTCGAACCGGATGACTGCGGGGCTAACGGTTCGTATCGCTACCAGTCCGCTGACATGGCGCATCAATCAACGGTAAATGTTGCCCATTACTTGCCCAGTATTACTTTGAATATTATTATTGTGATTGAGGATTAAATCCGCTTTGAAGACCACCGTTTTATATCGTGCAGTTTAGCGGCAAAATAACGTCAGTCAGCCAGCTAACGCTAGCTTTGTTGAGTTTATGCTAGCTAAACAAGTAGTGGTTGTAGTCTACAGCAGTAATTAATATATTATAGCCTACTGCTTTGGCACTAACGGTTGCTAACCGTTTATGAAAATAAAACCAATTGAACTACTGAAATAATGACAAGTTTTATAATTGTCTTGGGCTCCTGCTGTGTTTTCAAAGCCTTTGTAAATTATCCATGCTATTTTCTATTTAGAAGAAGACTTCAGAATCTTAAAATCCCTTAACGTTTGTATGCAATTGTGCTAAATTCAACTCTAGAATCAAGCAAATATTAATATGTTTGCATGACATTAGTTATTTATATTTTGCCATCACTGAACTATACATTTAATACATTTAAGTCAAGCTAAGGTACATGTGATGGTAGCTAGTTAGTGCTCTTACCTGTGAGGCCTCCTCCAAACAGCATAATAATCTTTGCCTTCAATACATTAAATTAGAAAGCTGACAGTCATATTGCTTGTTAACATCTAAATGTAACCTTTTGCATGGAAAAAAACCTCAACTTCACTGATGTGTAGGTGATCTAGTATTTAGTATTGTTTAATGGAATGTATATCAGTGTATTCAAGTCAATACTTCATTCATTTAAACCAATATCTTTCTTGATTCTTTGTACAGTATGAAAAAAGAGTCTTTGTACCTGAGCTGAAGTTCACTGCTGTGAGGAGTCCAGTTCTGTCTCTCACTCTCTGGTCCAGCCTGTCTG